CACACACTCACACACACATTCACCTGCTGTCTCTCTCTCCCTCACACACTCACACACACATTCACCTGCTGTCTCTCTCTCCCTCACACACTCACACACACATTCACCTGCTGTCTCTCTCTCCCTCACACACTCACACACACATTCACCTGCTGTCTCTCGCTCTCACTCATACACACACTCACACACACACACTCACACACACATTCACCTGCTGTCTCTCAGGCTGTGGCACATCCACATGTATCTCACAGCAAGTGCTGCTGTCTGTCCCTCTCCTAATACTATTTGTTCTGTTTCACTAATGGCTGTAAAGTTCTTTATTAAGTTGGTGAATTTGTTGAAGTAGAGGTTTCTTATGGATATGTATTTATGACAGTGAAGGAGGAAGTGCGTGTCTCGATCTCTCCTGTCTCACAGTGAGCACACACCCTTTGCTCTCTGGGTAACTCACTCTCTCTCTCTCTCTCTCTCTCTGTGTGTGTGTCTCTCTCTCTCTCTATATATCTATCTAAAAAGTGCAAAAATCAGGTTGTTTCACCTCAAGTACTTAATCATTGTTATATGCTGATTTGATGCTCAAGAAACATTTCTTATTATTATCAATGCTGAAAACATTTTTTGTGTAAATAGAAAGTTCAGTGAACTGCATTTATTTGAAATAGAAATCTTTTGGAACATTTTTGTCATTTTTGATCAAGTTAATGCTAACTTTTGAATGTTAGGGTACATCAACTATTTTTCGACTCATCAATTTCGAGAGAAAAAAAAAATTACAAATGTAACTTTGTCAAATTAAATGTATAGGTCTGAATTGCCTGTGGTCTCTAGGTTTAAAAGAAACGTTAATGTGTGCTGTTTGCAGAGACTGAAAAATGTCGTGGCTTTGGATATGTCACATTCTCAATGGAAGAAGATGCTCAGCGGGCCATTAAAGAAGTCAAAGCGTATGAAGGCGAGAAGATATTTGTAACTGTGGCCAAGAAAAAGCCCGATAATAAGAAAAAGAAGAAGAAAGTGAAAACAGAAGAAGGTTAGATGCTTGTATTTTTTATTCATGGATTATTTACTCTTTTTGTGGTCTGTAAGAAATGAGTCTGAACTGTTCCTGCAGATTCAGAAGATACAAAGAAACCTCAGGAACCAACAGAAACCAAAAGTCCTGCAAAGTGTACAAACATAAAGAAGAACAAACTGAAAGCTCGACTGATCCTCAGAAATCTCAGTTTTAAGGTAAGTCGACTAAATACTGTTTGTTGTATAAAGGACAAATGTGTAGTTTTGACTTTTGACATGTGATATTGGCTCATGCGCTGATGTGGTTTATGTGCAGTGTGAAGAAGACGATTTGACACAGATCTTCTCTGAGTTTGGAACAGTGATTGAGGCCAAGATTCCCTTAAAACCAGGTAAATGTTTGACCAACAAATGCATCTGACTGTTTATAAGCAATCTCTTAAGTTCTTTGTTTACCTGATGTTTTTTCATACGACTGTCCACCTTATTTTGATTGCATCATGTTTGTGCAGATGGGAAGAAGCGAGGTTTTGCATTTGTGCAGTTTAAGAACATGGCAGAAGCTGGAAAAGCTCTGACTGCGATGAACCTGAAGGAGATCAAAGGTGAGTCTTCCCTTAACACTGAAGACTGCTGAAAGTTCAGCTTTGCCATCACAGAAATAAATTACATTTTAAAGCGTATTAAAATAGAAAACAGATTTTTTAATTTGAATAATATTTCTGTTCTATTATATATCAAAGAAATTTAGCCTTGAAGAGACCTCTATCAAAAACATTTTAAAAAATCTTAATTATTGACACTTCTAGTATCACTTTTTTACTATCATAAAATGTGTTTTATTCCTTTCTCACAGACAGACAGGTGGCTGTGGACTGGGCCATTGCAAAAGACAAGTATCTCGCCACCCAGTCAGCTGGAGCGGCTGGTAATGTGTATTTTAATTTTAACTCCATCAGCATCATTCATTTATGTGGATGCTCTTGTAAAAAGCTTTGAAAGTGCATCTACCCTCTAGGTTTTGTAGTGAAGTGTATCTGGATATCTCGTAGGAACCGTCAAAGAAGAGAATGTGAATTTGAATTCTAAAGGTGCAGGAGCTGATGGGAATGAAAAAGAGGCCAAGAAAAAGTGAGTACAGGAAGTGCAACGGATCTGATGATGTGTGTGAATGTGAATTCCTTGAATTTAACATAAGGTCTGTCTTGTGTTAAGGCCCACATCACAGGAAGAAAAGGATGACTCTGAGTCAGAAGAAGAAGAGGCGTCTGAGGATGAGGATGATGATGAAGCCAATAGTAGTGAAGAGGAAGATGCAGAAAATGACTCTGAATCTCAGCAGACAGACAGTGATGCCAGTGAACCTGACGACTACGATGATGATGATGATGACGACACTGAGGGAAAAAGTAACTTTATTAATCATTTATTTATAGCAGTGTTATTTTAGTGTGATTGATATACTGTATCATGTTGTTTTCGTATGTTTGAAATTGTAGTTTTCATTTATATTTAGAATTAGTTTGTACATGTTTTCTGTTTTCACTTTAATGTTTTAACCATGTTTTTGTCATTTTTATTTATTTGTTATTATTTTTTTAATGTCTGTAAATTACTCTCTGTAAATCTCTATCCTCAGCTCCTCCAAAGAAGAAGAGAGACCCTCTTCCTACAGATGTGAATGAGGGAAGAACCATCTTCATCAGGTGAGAATCATATAAGGAACTCATAACTTGTTGCATTTACAATCAATAACAAACAGATGTTTTTTACAGTTCGTCAAACATTTTACCTGTAACTAAACAGCAGCCCTGTATATTAACAATTGCTTTAAATAGGAATTCATGTTTTTATTGTCATCGACAGAAATCTGGCCTTTGACACAGACGAAGAGGGTTTGGAAGAAGTGTTGTTGCAGTTTGGTGAGCTAAAATACGTACGTGTGGTGATGAACGCAGACACGGGATGTTCAAAAGGTAGTTTCAGTCACCAAAACCCCGGCCTTTATGGAATCGAAGTTCTTTCTTCAAAGTAATTCTCACTTTTACCATGTCTGTCTGTTTAGGTTGTGCTTTTGCTCAGTTCAAAAGTAAAGAAGCGGCAGAGAAATGTATCGCTGCTGCTGCTCAAGATGAAAAAGAGGTGAGTCCGTTGTCCTGTAGCTCTAGTAAGAATTATACCGTATTATACCAGTAAACACAGGATTATTGTGCTAATGCAAATGTGCATTTCAGTTTGGTGGCATTAGAGTTGATGGCAGGAGACTGAACATTTTGCCTGCCGTGAACAGAGAAGATGCTGCCAAATTCAAGGACAAGAAAGTGAAAACTCACACAGGCTCCAGGAACCTTTACCTCGGCAGAGAGGGCTGTGAGTGAAGCCAGTCACAAAACACTGCCAAGTCAGCTGACCAGTAACAGAGCTTAAATTGAGCTAGCCAATAGCAATGAAGCGTACATGTGCACCTAGATGAACTTGTTACCTCTTGAACTTTTCCAGTGATTCGTCCTGGATCCAATGCTGCAGAGGAAGTTTCAGAAGCTGATATGGCCAAGAGGACAAGAGTGAGTACGGAGAGTGTGATGGGCATCTTTTTCATTATTAGCTCATGAATTTGATTGACCAGTCTTATATATATATATATATATATATACACACACACACACACATATACTGTACATATACATACATATATACAGTATCTCACAGAAGTGAGTACACCCCTCACATTTTTGTAAATATTTTATTATATCTTTTCATGTGACAACACTGAATAAATGACACTTTGCTAAAATGTAAAGTAGTGAGTGTACAGCTTGTATAACAGTGTAAATTTGCTGTCCCCTCAAAATAACTCAACACACAGCCATTAATGTCTAAACCGCTGGCCACAAAAGTGAGTACACCCCAAAGTGAAAATGTCCAAATTGGGCCCAAAGTGTCAATATTTTGTGTGGCCACCATTATTTTCCAGCACTGCCTTAACCCTCTTGGGCATGGAGTTCACCAGAGCTTCACAGGTTGCCACTGGAGTCCTCTTCCACTCCTCCATGACGACATCACGGTGCTGGTGGATGTTAGAGACCTTGCGCTTCTCCACCTTCCGTTTGAGGATGCCCCACAGATGCTCAATAGGGATTAGGTCTGGAGACATGCTTGGCCAATCCATCACCTTTACCCTCAGCTTCTTTAGCAAGGCAGTGGTCATCATCATGTTGGATTACTGCCCTGCGGCCCAGTCTCCGAAGGGAGGGGATTATGTTCTGCTTCAGTATGTCACAGTACATGTTGGCATTCATGGTTCCCTCAATGAAACTGTAGCTCCCCAGTGCCAGCAGCACTCATGCAGCCCCAGACCATGACACTCCCACCACCATGCTTGACTGTAGGCAAGACACACTTGTCTTTGTACACCTCACCTGGTTGCCGCCACACACACTTGACTCACTTCTGTGACTGTATATATGGAAATTAATTATATTTCTGTAATTTTATGTGGATTACTTAACTAGTTCCTTAATTTTAGTTAAAAAGTATTTTTGTCAATTAGTGTATTTTTTTTATTAGTTTAGTAAATGCACTTTTGTTATTTATATTTTTTGTTTCAAATATTTCTATATGGCTCTTTACATTTTTTTATCCCAAGTTTTTCACCGAATACAATTAATACATACAATTATGTCAATTAAAAATAAAGATAATAAAAACATTTCTTCAAGATGCTTTCTGTCGCTTTGGCAGATAAAAAATAAGGTATCTATCTCCTCTATCACTCTATATTGCTCCAGTGGTGAAGTATGAATGTTTGATGATGTCATTTCCTGTGATGTTCCCGTCAGAGACCCATAGTGGAGTTCTCTCTGGAGGATGGAAGGAAGCTGAAACTTAAAGCCATTCGTTTGGAAAACAGCAAGGTGAGGCTCAGCTGCATCTCGGCTCCCTGTCAATGTAACGTTTTGGAAATGTCAAAATTAAATTGACAAAATAAAATGGAGTCCTTGATGTGTTTTTCCATAGAAGCAACTCAAAAAAGGCAGTAGCCAAAAAGGAGAGCAGCCACAGCAGCAGCAGCAGCAGCAGCATTCGGGGAAGAAGAAAGGACCCTTGAGGAAAGAAAATGCAGCTAATGTTGTTAAACAGAAGGAACAAGGAAGCCAGTACAGCGGCTTTATGTCTAAACCAGAGGTGGAGCATGTAGAACTGAAGGATGGCAAAAAACGGCCCAAGGTTCTGCACATGCCTTCACACAGAGGCCCAAAAATCAGGTACTGCACAAGTGAAACGGAACTAGCACCAATGATTCATCAATAAAAACTATAACATACAATGAACCTCGCACTATTCCTCAGGAAACGCGATAAAGGAAAACAACCCATGGTACAACCCAAGAAACAGAACAAAGGGCCCAGCAGGAAAGAGAGAAAGATATCTACTTTCACTGAGAAATCCAGCATGAACAGGAAACAGGTAAGCCAAAGAGTTGAAAAGATTGTTATATAAATTGAAATTTATATAAATGATATACTAATTAGAAAGAAATATTATTATTAATTAAAATTACGGTTTTCTAATATAATATGTATTTATAATAATATATATATATATATTTATTATATTAATATATATTTCTATTAATATATTTTAAAATTACAATTTTAATTAAAATGTATTCCTGTGATGGCAAAGCTGAATTATGATCACTCTACAGCAGGGGTCTCCAACCCTGCTCCTGGAAAGCTACTGTCCAGCAGATTTCATCTCCATCCCTAATCAAACACACCTGAACCAGCTAATCAAGGTGATCAGAGCTACTTGATAATTACAGACGGGTGTGTTGTAGCATGGGTTGGAACTGAAGTCTGCAGGATGGTAGCTCTCCGGGAGCAGGGTTGGAGATCCCTGCCCTACAGTGTTGCATGTTTGTTTTTTCTTTGAGGAAAAAATCGTGCGGTGATGAACAGTATTCGATGTATACTTTTTGGTTCTACCACCAGTTTAACCCATTGTTATATATCTGTTGTAATTATTATATGTATTTATTCTGTTGCAGAATGGCAAACCTGCAAAGAGAAAGTTCCAGAACAGAGATGATGTCCGCTTTGACACACTGGTGAACCAGTACAAAAAGAAACTGATGGGAACATCAAACACGAAGACTGCAGTCAAAAAGAGCAAATGGTTCATTTGAACATATGAGATGTAAAAATGTTGAAAACCTCTCAGAGGAGGACTAAATTTAATACTTTTGACTCTTGAGTTTTTAAAACTGAAAAGTCAGTTTTTCATTGTGATGTTGGTTTGCCTCAGAAATATATTTCCATTACAGATCTAACAGAATGCAGAGACGGTTCCAATACGTAACAGACTGTGTTTTGTGGGGATGTCTCTTGAACTACATATGTTTATCGAGAGTTCCACGCCAAGTTTGTGTCCTGCTGTTTTGGCACAGGGAGTTTTTTTTAAACATTACCAATTTAGAGCTTCTGTAGACAGGATGATTGGTCAACTGTTGTCAATATGGACTTTGCCTACATAGTTTAGCTGTCGTTATTTAACTGCTTTTCTCAAACTTTGAAAACAGGTGGACTTGTTTCTGGGGATGTCTCTTGAACTACATATGTTTATCGAGAGTTCCACGCCAAGTTTGTGTCCTGCTGTTTTGGCACAGGGAGTTTTTTTAAACATTACCAATTTAGAGCTTCTGTAGACAGGATGATTGGTCAACTGTTGTCAATATGGACTTTGCCTACATAGTTTAGCTGTTGTTATTTAACTGCTTTTCTCAAACTTTGAAAACAGGTGGACTTGTTTTAAATGCCAGCAGCCAATTCCTGTCATCCCGTGTTAAATAAGTTATGTAAAGCACCCTTGTTGATAAAGTCTGGAAAAAAAAAAATGTTTTTATTGCTGTATACAAATTAAATGATACCAACATCCAACAATGATATGAACAACAGATTGGTTTTTAAATGACTAAAATGTCCGGAGCAGGGTCGCTTATGGCGGATTTGAATAATTTAATCTCAGCAAATAAGATGTGCACAAAATTGCTGAACCGTTATTTGATGCAATATTTAAAATGCACCAAAAGAAGACGCTTCGTGTTGAACAAAGCTGTAGATTTGACCTTACAAAAGCCAAATGAACATGATATTCAACTGCAAATGTCAAAATTGTTGTGTGTTGATTTAATTGATTTTGCTCATTACTTACAGGTAAGTCATACGTTGTATGGTGAAAGAAAGCCTGCCGTTGATGGTTATCTGTAAAAACATTCCAACGCTGCATTTATCATGTTGGGTTTCACTGGGAAATGATACAATGACCATAAACATATGCAAACTGTGTTGGCATAAGCAGAGCCACAATAAATAGCAAAAGTGTCCATGTAACTTAGACATTTCTTTTATTGGTAACATTTTATAAAAAAAAAAAATGCATCAATACACAAAATACAAAACTAGTAACAATAATCAGGATATTCAAAGTGCATAGATTCATACTGTATAGGAAAATAAGTGTTTTTCTCCTCCATACTCAGGAAAAAAAAGGTACAAAAACTGTCACTGGGGCAGTACCCTTTCAAAAAGTACATGTGTACCTTATTTACCCCTTTAAAAAAAAAAAAGGTACATACAAGTACCTTAGAGGTACATATTTGTGTCTTTCGAAAAGGTACCGCCCCAGTAGCAGCTTTTGTACCTTTTTTTTTCCTGCGAGTGTACAATGCTGGTGTTGCAGCAAGAAGTAAAATAGGAACATGATTCCAGCTTCCCAGCAGAGTCTGACCTCGCTGCTTCTGGTAAACACAGTGACATCATTGAGCACCTCAGCAAATGCTGATGTCATCCTGCAAACAGCATGAAGTATGACATGGCAATGTGTGCAGGTATCAGATTGCTAGTGTTTACACAGCAAGGACAGATTGGTTGGCATTGCATGACGTCACAACAGCATTTTTAGTTTACTGTTTAGTATCAGGGAGTAAGTTTGTACGTATCAAAATGTGCCAAAATGCTGCTTTGGTCTATAAATATACAGGGATTTAAATAAATATAATAAATAGTATATTTATAATACTACAATAATTTCAAATTAGCATCTTTTCAACTGGTCTAGATTAACTATCAGCTTTTGCATGAACTGTTTCAGTCTGTCTAAAGCTAAGTACCCAACAGTAATGTGGTGGGTGGCGTTGTCCTCCAAGAATGCGTCCAGTGACCTCCCATTAGCTGGCTCCTTGGATGTGCAATGCATAGATGTCATTCTTTCCTTCAGGTAACCCAGAAGGGTGGACAAATCACTGTGTATCTGGCTCACATGCCCCTTGGGCAGCCTTTGGAGAACCTTCTGGAAGGTAGTTAGGGTGTCCATGATAGACCCGAGGCCTTGGATGGTTTTATCAGCAGGAATCTCGGGGTAAAGTTCTGGATCCCCAATGAGGAGTGTTGGATATAGTTTCAGCTGAGAGAGAATGAGCATGGCCGTATGAATTATCTCAGTGAGTTTAACAGAACAGAAGACTTGCAAACCATTTTTAACCCATTACCTTGTCATTGTGATCCTTGATTCTGAGGACGATGGTGTCTGCCTGCAGTTTGACCAAGTTTTTCAGGTTATCGGGATGAATGGGAATGCCATGAACCAGACTGAGCATGCCCAAAATGCAGGGGTAGAGAAGAGCTGGAAAATACATGCTTCCTGTGTTGAGTGGTCTTTAACTTTGCAACAGTGCAGCAATACCTGCTGAAATAAAATAATAAGCATTATTTTGAATATCTATTAAAATGTTTTAATATATATGAAAGAAGTCTTGTATGCCCACCAAGTCTGCATTTATTAATCAAAAATAATGAAGTAAAAACAGTAATCTTGTGAAATTATATTACAATTTGAAAATTTTACAATATATTTTAAAATGAAATGTATTCCTGTGATGGCAAAGCTGAATTTTCAGCAGCCATTACTCCAGTCATCAGTGTCACATGAGCATGAAATCATTCTAAAATACGAATTTGGTGCTCAAGAAATATATCTTATTTTCAACTATTAAATATTTAATACTAAATATTTTTATGGAAATCATCATGTTTTTTTTTTTCAGGACTATAATAATGAATATATACTAAATCTGCATTCCTAAATACAATTTATTGGCAAAATGCTTATTTTTTCCCCATAAACTGCATTAAGAAATCACTTGTAGTAAAATTCTATTATAAAAGGGTATTTTCTATCAAACAATAAAGTCCTGAAGCTGTGTCTAATTATTGAGCAATCCTGAAATCCTGACTTGATACTTCAATTGATTTGGATTGTACAAGACACTTAATCTCTGATAGCAGATCCTCTCAAGTCATACTGCTAAGTCAAATTAAGACCGACTGTCCAATAAAATTACACAACATTAAAAAGTGGGTTCCTTGCACATGAAAATACATCTCTAATTTGAAGTTGCCTGTCACAATGAGCATGTCAGCGAACCCTAGGCCTCTTCAGTCTGCAACATCAAGCAGCATGAAATCATTCTAAAATACGAATTTGGTGCTCAAGAAATACATCTTATTTTCAACTATTAAATATTTAATACTAAATATTTTTATGGAAACCATGTTTTTTTTTTCAGGACTATAATAATGAATTTAGACTAAATCTGCATTCCTAAATACAATTTATTGGCAAAATGCTTATTTTTTCCCATATACGCATTATCCTAAACTGCATTAAGAAATCACTTGTAGTAAAATTCTATTATAAAAGGGTATTTTCTATCAAACGATAAAGTCCTGAAGCTGTGTCTAATTATTGAGCAATCCTGAAATCCTGACTTGATACTTCAGTTGATTTGGATTGTACAAGACACTTAATCTCTGATAGCAGATCCTCTCAAGTCATACTGCTAAGTCAAATTAAGACAAACTGTCCAATAAAATTACACAACATTAAAAAGTGGGTTCCTTGCACATGAAAACACATCTCTAATTTGAAATTGCCTGTAGCCCTCACAATGAGCATGTCAGCGAACCCTAGGCCTCTTCAGTCTGCAACATCAAGCACTCTGATAGCAGATCCTCTCAAGTCATACTGCTAAGTCAAATTAAGACCGACTGTCCAATAAAATTACACAACATTAAAAAGTGGGTTCCTTGCACATGAAAATACATCTCTAATTTGAAGTTGCCTGTCACAATGAGCATGTCAGCGAACCCTAGGCCTCTTCAGTCTGCAACATCAAGCACTTAAGCATTCCGCTACGTTCAGTCTCACTTCCAAATGAACTAAACGACAGCCTCTGTGCCAGAGTTTGGATTTCAATATCTAGTAAATTCCCCAAAGAGCATGTTGCCCTTGTATAAACAATGATTGCTTCATTCCAAAAGCACTGTAATCTTTTTTTATTCCCTGTGTGGAAAATTAAACTTATTTTCTCCATAATGTGAATGATAAAAATAGCAATTTAAAGGCTATAAATGTAAAGTTAGATGATAAAATCCACATTATTATTGAGAACGCCAGTGCTCATAGGAGTATCAGAGCTGCAGATAGTGTGAGAGTGGTGATGAGTGGAGAGAAGAGAGAGAGAGTGAGAGAGCGAAGGGGACTTACCTTTGAGATCTGAGGACTGTATGATGCCCAGGCTCCATGAGTGGTCAGGCTTATATAGCTGATAGCTGTTGACTCATGTGTGAATCACCTCAGCCTTTCCTTCCCTGATTCTCCCAGTGCAGAACAGCATGAGGGGGGACAACACCCCCACTGGCACCTCAAGCACAACACAAACCCATCTCACGCACACATGTACTACAAATATTCGTCATTGTAATATGTACCGATCATGTGGAGACTGTGGTGGGATGTGTTACAATTCACTATGGATCTGTAGCTTGTAAAACAAGAAGCTTGTCTTACAACAGAATTGTCCCCAAGGGATGCACTTTGTTGAGGAACTTGCCAAACCGAGTAAAACAATTTCACACCCACTTATTGAGTAGATCCTGATACAAATACATAATGTGGGTATCCAGAAAATATTAGTATTTGTAGTATTATTAGTTTAAACAGTGCAATAAAGAGCAAATATGTTCTCTGCTGAAATGACCAGCATGAATTTCCTGCTGCACTTTTTGTCATGCAGTTAATGGTAGTTGGACAACATTGACAGTCAGGGCCAGCCACTATTTGTGTCATTGTGTCATTTGTCTGGTGTGTGGTTTAACATAGCAATGAATGCTGAACAGATGGAGAGGAGAATATCTAGGGAAAAATATACATTTTGTAAAAATGCAAAGCTGCAGTTGTATAAATTAAACACAAAAGGTTCCAACAGACATATAACTAGACAGACAGACTAGTTATTGTGCCAGTTACACTCTTTAAAAAAGAAGGGTTTTTTATTGGCATATGGTTCCATGAAGAACATTGAACATCAATGAACATGCCATTCCACAAAAGGATCTTTAAACTGGGAAAAAAAAATTCTTTTTAAATATTCTTCACACTAAGAGAAAAACAGTTCTTCATTCACAACTTTGTGAAACCATCTTCTCAAGATGAACTGGTTTAATTGTTAGATTTCCCTTACACTCTTAAAAATGAAGGTTCCAAATAATGAACCTTTATTTCTGCGAGTGTATTTTTCGAGGAATCAAATGTGTAATATTGTGATTCATATTGAAGCTGGTTGGATTGGTTTTCAGATTAAAACTCCTAAATAAAGAGTTTTTTAATGTCTACGTAGAAAATTAAAAGCACTTGTGAAAAGCAGTCTGCTGCACAAGTGAGAGGTCATTTCATGTCGCTAACTATGGTGTGGCAGTGAGATTTGCAGTGAGATTTTTGTTCACATGCCTAAGAGTCAGCAGACCCCATTTCAATAAAAGCTTCCATAAAGAACTTCACTTACCTGCCTGTCCACCCCTGCAGATGGCACTGCCGTTAACTAGCA